GAGGGGATAAAGAGGAGCTGATATCAAGGAGTTTGAGAAGAAAGAAAATGTTTTGAAACTGATTGTGGTAGCAATTGTGCAATACTGCTTGAGGTGGGATTATGGAATGTTATGATATATGTAAGGGCTCCCAATAAAAAGATTAAAATAATAATAAAGAAGAAAAAGATTAAACCACTACTGTGGGGTCGATTTAAACTCATAGCAACTGTGTAAGAGAGGGTAGAACTGCTGCATAGGGTTTCCAAGGCAGTAAATCTTTTTTTTTCTTTTTAAATCTCTTTATTGGGGACTCATACAACTCTTATCACAACCCATCCATCCATTGTGTCAAATATATTTGTACATTTGTTGCTATCATCATTCTTAAAACATTTGCTTTCTACTTGAACCCTTGGTATCAGCTCCTCACTTATCCCACTCCCTCCCCACCATCCTCCCTCACAAACCCTTGATAATTTATAAATTATTATTTTGTCATGTCTTACACTGTTCGGCATATCCCTTCACCCACTTTTCTGTTGTCCGTCCCCCAGGGAGGGAGTTATACATAGATCATTGTGATCCTTTCCCCCTTTCTACCCCACCTTCCCCTTACCCTCCTAGTATCGCTCCTCTCATTATTGGTCCTGAGGGGTTTATCTGTCCTGGATTCCCTGTGTTTCCAGTTCTTATCTGTACCAGTTTACTTCCTTTGGTCTAGCCGGATTTGTAAGGTAGAATTGGGATCATGATAGTGCGGGGGAGGAAGCATTTAGGAACTAGAGGAAAGTTGTATGTTTCATCGTTGCTATACTGCATCCTGACTGGCTCATCTCCTCCCCGCAACCTTTATGTAAGGGGATGTCCAGTTGCTACAGATGGGCTTTGGGTCTCCACTCCGCACTCCCCCTTATTCACAATGATATGATTTTTTGTTCTTTGATGCCTGATAAACCTGATCCCATCAATGCCTAGTGACCACGTAGGCTGATGTGCTTCTTTCATGTGGGCTTTGTTGCTTCTCAGCTAGATGGCCACTTTTTCTCAGCTAGATGGCCTTTAAGACCCCAGATGTTATATCTTTTGATAGCCGGGCACCATCAGCTTTCTTCACTACATTTGCTTATGTACCCATTTGTCTTCAGCAACTGTGTTGGGAAGGTGAGCATCATGAAATGCCAATTTAATAGAACAAAGTATTCTTGCATTGAGGGAGTACTTGAATAGGGGCCCAATGTTTTTCTGCTACCTTTATACTAAAGCTATAAATATATGCACATAAATCTATTTCCCCATCATCATATATAAATATATTTACATATGTACATGCCTGTATTTAGACCTCTATAAATGCCCTTTTCCTCTATTTCCTTTTTCTTTCCTCTTGTCCCACTATCATGCTCAGCCTTCATTTGAGTTTCAGTAATTCCTCTGAGTTACTTTACCCTTGATCAAGCCCTACCAAGCGTCCTACACCCTCCTCGCCATCAATTTTGGCTCACTTGTTCCCTTGTCCCTGAGGTTGTTAACACCCAGTTCCTTTCCCCCACCTCCCCTTCTCCCATATGTCCCCCACCCTCCCACCCCCAGAACCATCAGTCCCGTTATTTTCTCCTCCAGCTTGTTTATCCCACCTATCTTATCTAGATAGACCTGCAGAGATAAAAGTATGTACAAAAAAACAAAATAGAGCAAAACAAAGCCACAAAAGAAAACAAAACCACAACACCAAAAAAAGAAAAGAAAAGCCTGTAAATAGTTCAAGGTCTATTTGTTGACCTTTAGGAGTGTTTTCCTGTGTAGTCTGATGGCCCCAAAGTCTATTTTGGTATTCCCTCTGGACTTCTTTGCTCTGCTCCTCTTGCTGTTCTGCTGCACACCCTTAGTGTTTTGCCTTGGGCGCAATTCCCGTACTGTGTCTCCAGTGTTGTCCCCCATAGGACTATGGGTCAGTGAAGGATGTCCTGTCTTGTAGTGGGGCTGGCCATATAGTCCTCTCTGTGCTTTGGCTGCTCTGAGCAGGGATAATCATCCTCAAGGTTTGGTGGGCCAGGATGTGCTCCACCCTCTCTTCCTCCCCCTTCATTTGCTTCTGTGTGCTCTGATCAGACATGTCCCTCTCCCTGAGCTGTAGTTTCAGTGCTGTCCTTTGAAGTAAATTATTTGGGGGGGGGGCTGTCCACATAGTTGGGATTGGGGCTGGCCCCACAGATCTCTCTATTGGTTCCCTGCTTCATGCTGGCATGTTGCATTCACATCTTGTTGGAGCACCGGGTTGAAGTCTGGTCCTCTTTCCCTGTGGAGATATAAACAACACCCTCCCCTTCGGTGGGTTAGTGCCCTGTTCCCCCGCTACCCATGTCTTTTTTTTTTTTCTTCCCCGCCCCCCTCCTTTTTAGTTGGTTACCATATGTATCCCTGGGTTTGGTCTGGCCCCTGCAAGACTGTAAATCTTAATGGAAGTGGTCTGCTTCATCTTTCTCTCATGGAGTGCTGGAAGGATGGAACTGCTATCCTTTCTGTTAGCAGCTCAACTCCTATGAGGAAGTTTTACCCTGTCTTAGAAGCCACTATATGTCAGAGTCAATTCAGTGGTAACCAGCAACAACCGTAAGAATATGAGAGTAACTTAACTGTATGATTCTGCCCAGGGGTCTCTCATCAGTTTCAATCAGATGTTACCTGAGACTGTAATCTCCAAAAATTTAGGCTTTTTCTTACTCTCTCAGAAACCCCTCTACCTATCTAGCTATCTACATAAGCTGAAGGAAAAGCAATGACATAACTGTGGCATGTGACATGGGAGTCTGGACTTCCAGCTCATGTCTTATATTCCCATTCGGACTCAAACAATAATGAACCATGTCCATATTAAAATACATTGTGTACATATCTGGATTTATGATTTGTCAGATTCAGTATAACCCATCTCATGATGAGAAATTGTAGACTCAAAGTCACAAGAAGTGTTGCATCTCTACCAGGACCCAGTAACACTCAAGAGGCTCTTTTTTCTTTCTTTCTTTTTATTAATCATTTTATTGAGGGCTCTTACAAATATTATGACAATCCTTCATTAAATTATATTAAGCACACTTGTACATATGTTGCCATCAACATTTCCAAAATATTTTCTTTCTACTTGAGCCCTTGGTATCAGCTCCTCTTCGCCCACTCTCCCGCCCTCATGAAACCTTGATCTATTGTACATTGCTGTTATTTTGTGTCTTATACTGTCCATTGTCTCCCTTCACCCACATTTCTGTTGTTCGTCCCCCTGGGGGTGGGTTATATATCCAACCTTGTTATGGGTTCCCC